AGAGAGAGAGAGAGAGAGAGAGAGAGAGAGAGAGAGAGAGAGAGAGAGAGAGAGAGATGTTGTGTATGGGCTGCTATTTTTGCAGAGGGCTTGTACTGATGGGTATCGTGCGCGTGGGCAATGTGGGGGTTAATTTGTGGGTATAACCACGCGCAGGGCGCCCCGCTAGAGCAGATGAGTCGGGTAGCGATGGGGCGGCGAATTCTCCCGATGCTGCGCCTCCGAAGTTGGAGAGCGATCTGGCCGCGGTTCCCGATGCGTTGACGACAGATCACCAGACAGCGGAACGGTACGTCCGAACGACTTAGCCCCTACCCCTTCCCCTAGTAATCGATCTGTGCGTCTCCGATTGGCTTTTTCGAAAGAAAGCGCCAGAACCGCATTGCCAATCCCAACCCCCAACCCCCAACTCCCAACTCTCAACCCCCAACCACCCCCGGCTCCTCCACCCCCACCTTTCCTTCCAGTCCTCCCTGGTTCCATCTTCTTCCCAATGATGAGTTATCTTCTACCCTACTCCCCTGTTTTCCTGTTCTTCTTCCATCGGTAAGGAGGTGGTCTGTTGCGGCTGAGGCAGAGAGGAATTGTGATGATGATGTATCTTTGCCGACAAGAGATGGATGGACGAGGGACTGATTGGAAGGTAATTCCCGCGTTATTCGATAACCGGGAGAAATAGATGGAGGACGGTCTCTGATTGGAAGGCAGTTCAGTTGCCGCCATGGTAAGTACGCGGGAGAAGAGCGTTCGTTGCTTGCGTGGGTCATATTCCACGTGGAAGGCGGGTCTTACGTCGTCGTCGGTATCTGTGGGTTCTGGTCGTAATGGACTTGGAGATGGTCAGCTGCTTCCTCGAAGCGGGAAGGAGGCAGTGAAACAACGGAATGACTCAACTTGAAGTGGATGGTTCTGCGTTTTCTCTCTTTCACCCCACATGTGTCGGACCTCGTTCGATCGTTCAGCATGGCAGATCTGATTCGAGATTACATTTCACACAATTGTATTTTTAGGTATAGGTTATTCTTTTGCGACGATTTCGGAGTTGTCGGTCGTTTCCTCGTGGACGGGAAATAATGTGGTTGACTTGGGGCTTGGGCATGTGGATTGGTTCCCTGTTGATACCATCCATCTCCCGGTAACGAACCGGGTACACCCTTTACCTTGAAGATGACAGCTATGGTAATTACGTCTTTTATCAGCCAACCCCGCAGCCCGTTTGCCAGCTCAGCAGCCAGTTGGCCGCCAGGTCAGGTTTACCTGATTGGCGGGGGCGGTTCACCTAATCGGTGCGCTTATTGAATGCGGCCGGCGCATTTGAGCGGCCAATCCAATCCTGCCAGGTCATCAGCCGGTTTTTCCAGTTCATTCGATCTCCCAGCTTCGAGATCGGCCAGGGAATTTTAATCGCCGGTTCGACGAAGTTGCCAGTCCATCCGCATCGCATCAGCCCATCTGCCAGCGTACCAGCTCTATCCAGCTGCTCATCCATCGCCCATTGGGGCAGGTCAATCGCGCACCGAGTGGCAAACTGAAGCCGCCGCCAGCTAAGCGGAGTCGCCAGCTGAGGAGGCTGTCACCGCCAGCAGCCTCGTTACCCGCGCATTGCATTGCAGCCGGCGCGAATTGCATTGGGTGCACTGTCTTTGAAAAATGGGTGCCGACAGTTATCGGAGCTCAGTTCGCGTTCTTACTGTAATGGGGTGGGTGAGCGATCTCGGTCCCTCGGAAGGAGTGGGTGGTGAGTATGAGGGAGGGTTGGGAGGGGGGAGGAAGGAGGAGGGAGGAGGGAGGAGGGTCGAGGATTGTTGGACTGGTATCGTGTGTGGTAGTTGCAGTGGTGGGGATTCTTGTTAAGGATCTCAGCCTCTGGTGGTGGTGATGTTAGCAATCGGTCAATGATACGCTTCGAGGATCGATATGATCGGAAATGAAATGTTGCGCCTGGCTCATTCTGCTTTGTCAGTGATTTGTCTTGAGGATCAATGTGCTCCGAACTGGTGTAATTGGGTCTCTTATTTGGGGTGCGCTGGTCATGCGATTAAAGCCGGCGTGTGCTTGACGGCGGCGAGTGCCACGGCGCTGTGACGATGAAAAAGCCTGATGGCCAGAGAGCAGCTGGGGAGGGGGCGGGAACTAAGCCGCACAGGCGCAATCAAGGTGGGCGTTACGCTCTTGTAACTGCCCGGTGAGACGGGGGGGGGGATGATCGGTCAGGTCGGCGGCGGCTGTCCTTAGGTCGTCCGTTGTCTGCGTAGTACCTTAGGTTATCTACTTGTTCCCTTCCTTAATGATGCGGACGATGTGTAATGTTGTGGCATTCAACCGTACGTGGAGATCATGCTCTCCTTCTTTTTTTTTTTTTTTAACTGGTGCCGAAGGTGTGTAATGTTTTTGAGGCACTCAACGTACGTGGAGATCAATCAGGCTGTGAGAAAATCTATTCTTCGTGGGAAGAAACAAAGTCGCCATATCTGAAATGCTGCCATCTAGAGAATTGTCCTTGCTTTTTGTTTCGTCTCTCGTGCACCTTGTTCTTCCTTCTCGTTTGTGTCGATCGATTAATGGAATTGGACAGTTATCTCCCTTCTCTCCCTGCTCCCCCCCCCCCCCCCCCCCCCCCCCTCTCTCCCCCCATCCCCATTGCTTCGACCCCCCAATAAAACGTGTGGCCGTTGGCAGCGGTTTTTGCCTTCCACGCAGGTTGTGTTATTAGTCAGTTGTACAACGTCAGTACAACCGTATGCGTCCTGCAGGGGTGGGGTGGGATGCGCGCGCGTTTTGCGATACGTAGTTCCCGAGATTATCAGTATTTTTGAATTCAAAGTTGTTATTATTACGTATTATTATCGTTATTTCAATTCAAAGTTGTTATTGTTACGTGTTATTATTATTACATTTATTTGTTGTTTATGGTTGCTGCGATTATGATTACGATAGCAATGTGAATTATTTTAGTGGCTGTTACTCAGTGAGACGGTCCGCTCGGAGAGCTATGTGGGCGCTGTTTATTGCGCGCCGTTCTGTCGTGAGACGTTCATTTGCTACGTAGGCTGTCGCACATCTCGAATCTTCATGTCGAGTGGTTATTAGCTGTGTAGTAAAATTCCTTCACTGTGAATGTATGGAGGGGACAGGTAGAACCTTTTTTTTTCGTCTCCTTTTTTCCAAAGTACGGTGATGCCTCTGATGCCGAAATCAGGGCACGAAGTCGCTTACAACTGTCCTTCTCTTTCTCTGAGCACGACGCACCCGGATAATGACTGTACCGAACCGGCGAAGTGGTTTGTGTACATAGTATTACGGTATGTATGTATGTATGTATGCCTCATTCTGAAATCAGGATGTTCGTCTCTCGTACGGCAGTGCAACGACAATCCAAATCCTTTCCTGATACCTCTCTCCCTGAACACAAGGCCCCACCACCATCGTGACTCTCTCTGTATTTGAATCGGAAGAGGTTCGGGTTCGGATTTATTCATGAAGGGTGTGGGGTTGGCTACTACCTTCCAGGGCGGAAGGTAGGCGGAAGGTAGGCGGAAGGTAGAAGTAGCGTTGTATTCTCAACTGCCGGTGTTAGGAGAGAAGAAGACCCGTACCAGTCGCCCGTTCGGTTGGGGCAGCATTGGAGTGCTTTTCTTTGCAGTAACAGACAAAAGTGGTCCATAACAGGGGGTAGGGGGACTTTATTTACTGTATTAAAAAGACAAAGGACTCCTTAAGTGGTAATACGATGCGATGTATAGAGAGTCTGACACCTGCCAGTGCTGGAAGGATTATGCAATGCACGTACGGCGGGCATTCTTTCCTTTTCTTTTTTCGTTTTTTTGGGTTTACGCACGGGGACTGTTGACGTATGGCTCAGTGAAAGAAGAAGAAGATGACGATGCTCGGAACGAAGAAGGTCGATGCGTGGAGAGAAGAAGATCGATGCTCGGAGAAACACACTGCATGAATCCGAGCAAGATTTCCATTCCGTTTTTGATTCTTTTGCGAGTCAATTTTCTATATCCCTAATTCATTCGTTTCTGGATTTTTTTGGGCACGTACTGTTATGTCCGTTTCGAATTCGTTTTAGGGTTTTTCGTGCCTGGTGCTGCTGTGCTGCCCGTGTGTCAGACCCCTGTTTTCCGAATTCGTTTTAGGGTTTTTCGTGCCTGGTGCTGCTGTGCTACGCGTGTGTCAGACCCCTGTTTTATTTCCCTCTAGGGTTTGGTGTCCTCCTCCAGTATTGATTGAAGGACCATAGCATAGCACTCCGGTCGTTCTTGAGACCGAGAAGTAGAGCCCTCACGTGTGCATGAGACGGTGCAGTGGGTGCGGGTAGGTTGTTAGTCTTTGTTCGGTGTGACCGAGCGCAGTATTCGTCTTCCCTACCTTAGAATGTGCGGCCAGTGTAAACTGTGTTTGGGGCAATGCAGCGACAAGGACCGTACGTTCGTTCGTTCTATTCGGGTGAATAGGGTCGTCGCATCGTGGGGCAATTTTCAGTCTGGATGCTGTGACAAGGACCGTACGGTACGTTCGTTCTATTCGGGTGAATAGGGTAGTCGCAGCGCGTGATGCTGAAGTGTAATTAGAGGACGAGTAGCACGGGGAGATCCCGCTATATAAGTACGTAGTCTGTTTTATGTATGTTTTGATGTGTTGCTAGTTATCGATTTACTGCCGTTCTTGCTGTCGATCATATCTGGAGTTATTATGCCGAGCGTCGAGGGTAGCAGCACACGAGAAGTTTGCTTCCGATGTGTTTCCTGGCCGCCACCGCGGGCGGATTCTGTCGGGAAAGCCGTTTGTTTCGGACGTGTGCCTGTCCGTCATCACGGCCAGATTCAGTCTGGTCAGCTCGACCGAGCGTGTGCCCGTTCCATTCATTTTTTGATGACCCGGTTCGGAAGGGGGTCCGAAGGAGGCTCTTCAGATCGACGAATGGACCCCCCTCTCTTGCGGGGGCAGCCCAACGACCGGAATATCGCGTATGTTGCTGTCGGTTGTCGTGTTATTACCCCTTTGACCAGGTAAGTTGGACAAAGGTGAAGCGATTTGGACAAACGAAAAATCAATTGGACAATCATCAAACCGAATTGGTCAGTTCGATTTTCCTATTTAGTTCATGATCGGAACCGATTTGGGCAGTCGATACAGGTTGGGATAAGTGATGAGCATTTCGGACACATCAGATTTAGGTTGGGATAAACGATGAGCATTTTGGACATACTGGAATAGGTTGGGATTAACGATAACCATTTTGGACAGAATGATTTAACAGTTTGGACGCATGACAGAGTTAGGCAGATTGATTTAACAAATTAGTATTACCGAAACCCCAGTTCGTACAGCAGTCAACCGATTTGAGATTCTGTGGACACCATCGGGACGAACAAAGATATCAATTTAGTGAAGCGATTTTGCATGTTAGTCACATGCGTCTGAATCACGGGCCTGCTGCTCCCGAATCACGGCCTGCTGCACCCGTAAACTGTCGACCTAGAACTTCGCCCCGATTAGCTTTGCCGAAGTTTCGTGTCACCTCTCTAAACCATCCTTGGCACATCTCGGCAGTGATCCGCAAAAGACCCCGGTTGATTGCATCAATCAGATTCCCCTGCCCCCCAAGTTCCTCACGACAAACGCGGCTCTTGACATTGCCTCCTCTCCTCTTGGTCGTCTCTGAGCCATAAGCCTCGAACGCGTTAACGATGTTGTGCACAGTACTGCGTGGAAAGCCATAGCGTACTGCAGTCTCTGCAATCGTTTTGCCTTCAACGAAGATAGACTCGATGATCTTTCGCCTCTGAACATCGTCAATGCGGTTGTACCTGCCTCTCCTGCCTCTAGCGGGCATACTGTATTGGGCACGTGAACGCGCAAGCCACGCGAACGCACAATCGTGACCGCACAAGGCCAGTGGTTCGATGCGCGACGGAAGTGAATGCACGGTGATGGATGCAGGTAGCACACGTGAGCGATACACGAGTTTCTGTGGGGCCCACCAATTTATGCGCTCGTCAGTCTAAATCGTCCAGTCCTTTGACGAAGGGCACAGTGGGTCTGTCCAAGTTTCTAGAATACCTGTCCATATCGGTTCACACGATGTCCAATTTAGAACTACCGGTCCAAGAAGCTTCTACAAGAACCTAAAACGCTTGGACTACATGGCAGATTCCAATTCTACCGGTTCAAGAAGCTTCCACGAAATTCCAAATCGGTTCGCCGTTTCTCCAACTTCGACGGGTTCACCTAATTTGATAGAAAAAAAATCCAATTCCAATCTGCCGGTCCAAGAAGCTTCTTGAAATTCCAAATCGGTTCGTCGTTGCTCTAACTTCTACGCGTTCACCTAATTCGATAAAAAAAAACTCCAATACGGTATTGTTTTGGGCGGGGACCTGGTAGGTAGGGCCTGCCCATTTCGGTTCACGATATGTTCAAATAGCGGCAGTATGTATATAACTTACCTGGTCAAAGGAGTATTTTGTTTTTTGGCTTGTGTACACGCTCAAACATGATTGATATGATATGGTATGATATACGGCCCTCCTGGGGCGCTGTCTGTCCCCCTACACCAGCGAAGAGGATGGGATTTAACGCCTGAATCTGGAGGTGATCGTGGACAGGTGCAGATAATCGCCAGTGGTCTGCTTTTCTGCATCTCTGCTTAGAACCTATCCAGATTAACGCGCTTAAATCGAATCCCCTTTGTGAGTGGGACCTCGTCCTGAGGCGCCGGTTTCGGGGTCGTGAGGGTTTTCTTTCTAAATTTCTGAAAAAGATAAACATCCGCTGAAAAACAAATAAAGACCACAATAAAAAAATAGAAATAGAAAAAATAAAGACCATAATAATTGCATACGGGTGTGTTTTTGGGGTAGTACTGAATTCTTGCAGGGGCGTTGATTTTTATTATTAATGCAGGGAGGCCGAATCGATTTCACGATCGAGAGCGAGAGGAGAGAAATTCGAATTCCAAGCGGAGGTGTCTCGATTGATGGACATTATCATCAACTCTCTGTATAGCAACAAGGATATCTTCTTGAGAGAACTCATCTCGAACGCCTCGGACGTAAGTACACAACTCATAAACTCCTTTCCTTGGAGCGAAGCTTTGCTGGGAATGGTGTGCGGTGCAGCTCTTTTTTTTTTTTTTTTTTTTCCCTCCCCCCAAATGTATCGCTACCGGCTTGATATTTTACTTATCATGATCATGCAACTGACCAGACGGAGTAGGTAGGTATTCAGAATTGTAGTATTTCACTCATATATACAGTATTTCCGCTGAAGCTCGAACTCGGGTCTGTACCAACCGAACTAGGCAGGTCAGTTGGTGCGGTACAGTTCTAAGGGTCTCGCCGCACGGCACACGAAACGAAAACGAAACGAGTGCATCTGCCCACGAATGGTGGCAAAATACACTCGTTACTATTTATAGCAAACCGATGAACCTGGCCATTTTTTGCTTGAAGATGCACTCGTTTCGTNCATCTGCCCACGAATGGTGGCAAAATACACTCGTTACTATTTATAGCAAACCGATGAACCTGGCCATTTTTTGCTTGAAGATGCACTCGTTTCGTTTTTCGTTTCGTGTCCCGTGCGGTACAGTTCCTAAGCATGCTGCAAAATTCGAAGTGTGCTGCTGAGAAAACTCCGCTCCAGAAAATAGCGAAGAAGGCGTGCTCTGCGAATGATGCTTGTGCCAACCTACAAAATTTTCTGAAGCCAACCGTCGTCTACGTAAGAGTCCGGGGCTGGTTTCGTCCCAAAAAAAAAGCGATTCTTTTCCTCGTGGAGATGTAGATATGCATGCACGTGTCGTATTTGCATTCCTACCCTCTTCACCCGAATACAACGTATAAGGTCATTATATAGCTGTATGTGGGCTATCGTACAGTCGGTAGTCGAAATACAGCAACAACGACCGGACGTTGTAGTTGACTGAAGAGTGTAGGAAAGAGAGAAATGCGAAAAGGAAAGTGGAAAGGCCTTTATTGTTCTTGTGTACTTCATATTAAAAAAAACTGAGGCCGACCTGGGTATACCTGATGCCCGCTATCTATAGATAGACCGTTGCACGGCCCCCGCCCCCTTCCCCCCCCTCCCGTAATCGGCACTAAGCAGGGACTGCTAATGTTCGTAGGAGGGGACTTGGGGGGGAGGTACAGGGAGTGGCCACTTGGATGAAGCTCGGTCCTGATGCGAGCGGCTCCCTGCCAGCTCTCTTATCGCCATCTAGCGGCCAACCTCAGTTGGGCAAGGCACGCAAGTGGCACTCAGGCGGTCTTGGTCTGGGGTTAAATCCCCCCATGGGCCTGGTGTACCATCCTGGGCATACTCGTTGCCCGCTTTCTAGAGATAGACTGTTGCCCGCCCCCCCCCGCCCCCTTCCTCTCTTTCCCCTCCTCCCCATTGGTATTAAGCAGCTAGTGTTAATGTTCGTTGGGGGAGGGAACCGAAGGGGAGGCAAAGTGATTGGCCACTCGGGTCGGTGAAGCTCGGTCGGGGGGAGATGCGACCCGCTGACCGGTGACGGGAATCACCCACCTGCTGGTGGGTGCAGCTCCTGCATGTTCACTCGTTGGAGGCTTGAACACGGATATGGCTGCTATGGGGTTCCCAGTAATGATAATAATAATACTACAATGACAATCAAGAAGGGGCCTAAAAGGCCGTCCTGTCCAGATTTGACAGGTAATTAAACTGGTAGGCTTGAAAGAGAACCTTTTCGAAGAAGAAAAAGAACTGACGACGACGAACAGAACTGGTTTATTGTGGAATCCGACCCGCGCCCATAGGATCACGTATGCAGACGATGTTGTTTTCAATTATTTTGCCAGATCTTTACGGAATAGGAGGGAAAAAAAAAGAAAAAAAAAAAGAAGATCGGAATGGTAAAATTGGAGGAGGAAAATCGAAATGGTAGAAAACAAAGGGAAATGAGCCTGTGTCCGCCGTTCTAGATCGGACAGGGACTACGAATTTACGTAATTGCTACATATTCGACGCCCATGAGATCGGACAGGTTTTTTTTTTTTTGTTTTTTCCTTTTTGTCAGGGTTTTATTAGGTTACATATTT